GTCATTTATATTCAGAATGAACCACTGGTACTCCTAGATCTGTCCCATTTATATTCACTATGAACCACTGGTACTCCCAGATCTGACCCATTTACATTCAGTATGAACCATTGGTACTCCTAGATCTGTCCCATTTACATTCAGTATGAACCATTGGTACTCCCAGATCTGTCCCATTTCCATCCAGTATGAACCACTGGTATTTCTTGTTTCTGTCCCATTTACATTCAGTATGAACCACTGGTATTCCTGGGTCTGTCCCATTTACATTCAGTATGAACCATTGGTACTTCTGGACCTGTCCCATTTACATTCAGTATGAACAACTGGTACTCCCAGATCTGTCCCATTTACATTCAGTATGAACTACTGGTACTCCTAGATCTGTCCCATTTACATCCAGTATGAACCACTGGTACTCCAAGATCTGTCCCATTTACATTCAGTATGAACCATTGGTACTCCCAGATCTGACCCATTTACATTCAGTATGAACCATTGGTACTCCTAGACCTGTCCCATTTACATCCAGTATGAACCACTGGTACTCCCAGATCTGTCCCATTTATATTCAGTATGAACCACTGGTACTCCTAGACCTGTCCCATTTACATCCAGTATGAACCACTGGTACTCCCAGATCTGTCCCATTTATATTCAGTATGAACTACTGGTACTCCTAGACCTGTCCCATTTTCATTTAGTATGAACTACTGGTACTCCTAGATCTGTCCCATTTACATTCAGTATGAACTACTGGTACTCCTAGACCTGTCCCAATTTCATTTAGTATGAACTACTGGTACTCCTAGATCTGTCCCATTTACATCCAGTATGAAGCACTGGTACTCCCAGATCTGTCCCCTCATTTACATTCAGTATGAAGCACTGGTGCTCTTAGATCTGTCCCATTTACATTCAGTATGAACCACTGGTACTCCTTGATCTGTCCCATTTACATTCAGTATGAACAACTGGTACTCCCAGATCTGTCCCCCCATTTACATTCAGTATGAACCACTGGTACTCCTTGATCTGTCCCATTTACATTCAGTATGAACCACTGTAACTCCGTAGATCTGTTCCATTTACATACAGTATGAACCACTGGTACTCCCAGATCTGTCCCATTTACATTCAGTATGAACCACTGGTACTCCTAGATCTGTCCCATTTACATTCAGTATGAACCACTGGTACTCCCAGATCTGTCCCATTTATATTCAGTATGAACCACTGGTACTCCTAGATCTGTCCCATTTACATTCAGTATGAACCATTGGTACTCCTAGACCTGTCCCATTTACATTCAGTATGAACCATTGGTACCATTTACATTCAGTATGAGATCTGTCCCATTTCCATCCAGTATGAACCACTGGTATTTCTTGTTTCTGTCCCATTTACATTCAGTATGAACCACTGGTATTCCTGGGTCTGTCCCATTTACATTCAGTATGAACCACTGGTACTCCTAGATCTGTCCCATTTATATTCAGAATGAACCACTGGTACTCCTAGATCTGTCCCATTTATATTCACTATGAACCACTGGTACTCCCAGATCTGACCCATTTACATTCAGTATGAACCATTGGTACTCCTAGATCTGTCCCATTTACATTCAGTATGAACCACTGGTACTCCCAGATCTGACCCATTTACATTCAGTATGAACCACTGGTACCCCGTAGATCTGTCCCATTTATATTCAGTATGAACTACTGGTACTCCTAGATCTGTCCCATTTACATTCTGTATGAACTACTGGTACCCCTAGATCTGTCCCATTTACATTCAGTATGAACTACTGGTACTCCCAGATCTGTCCCATTTACATTCAGTATGAACTACTGGTACTCCTAGATCTGCCCCAACCCGCGGTACCCGGGTACCCGTGGCTACCCGTGCTCTCCTTCCGGGTAGTACAGAGCACGTACAGAAACATGACATCGGTATCCGACATCGATACCCGATTTACAGTCACACGGTTTGAGTCTGTATTCGATCAATTCAGCGAGTCAGGTCGTACTTGATATTCAACTTCAATAAATAATCAAAGATGGTTATCCAACCATCGATAAGCATTGACTAGCAGCTAATCTACTATCCATGTTTATGGCCTGTCGGCATCACACGCTGGCCCAGTGTATGCATACTCTCTTCTTGATAGCCTCTCGTCACGATATGGCTGAAATATTCCCGATGTGACGTTAAATAATAACTCACTCACTCACTTGATAGCCTCATGCAAACATATTCAATAGTGTACTCCTCCTTGATAACATCGTGCATGGTTGTGCTATGGGTTATTGTGCTATGAGCAAACCTGATTGTGTGGAAATCATAGAAGCACTACACATTCCCTGATACTTGGTTAGGGCCTCTGAACCTTACTTCCTAGCCCGGTGTATGTATAATGGTGGCGTATTGTCATGTGACATATCAATATTTGTGGCTACTTGAAACTGTGGGACTTTAGCCTCCTGGTTGTACAGACACACTGATATATCACCGAGCCTGAACGGAAAGTACAGCTATTTATATCACGAATAGCGATTAGCAACAACGCTGATTTACTACAGGCAATGTTATTAATCACGAAATTCAAGTTTGTAAAAAATATGCTGATCCGGTGAGACATGTTTTCTAAGTCAGTCTGCACATAGAGGGTGAGTTGGGGTTTAAACCTCTGTAGCGCTGTCCCAGCAACATGACTACTTGGGACAATAACAAGCATTAGGCTACCCCCCACACCCCCTCCGGCTCTCAGCTCCAGTACATACCATTCACTCAACACATGTGCAGGGCTCCAGATAAGGGCCGTATCGACGTATGTGCGGATAAAAAAATATGCACGATACGGTAGGAAATAATTTGAAAACGTAGTAGATACGCACCACAGCAATGGTGAACGAATCATTTACAGACGTATTTATATGAAAAAGTATTGTTTTATTGTTTATTGACCTGTTTACACAAGAGTAGCAATGTCGTGGTGCATATACCAAACGAAACACAAGAGTACTGCTTACTAATTTCCATTCAGTACTCTAAATGTACTCTACGACGTACTCCTGATGTTGAAATATTATCTGGAGCCCTGCATGTGTATATTAATGTGTGTAGGTCGTTGGCGGTGATCATGGTTTGACTGGTGTAACGTGTCAGTGACGTCGCAACGTGGCTCCCCTGTACAACAGATCGGCACTATCATATCAGTAGCTCGTGTCGCAACGTGGCTCCCAGTACAACAGATCGGCATTGTCATATCAGTAGCTAGTGTCGATTTCCTTACACTCTGCTGTTGTCGATCTACAAGTTCGAGCATGGTTTAGAGCAAAGGGCAGTCAGTGTGATTGTTGAGATATGCTGGATTCAGTGCAGGAGATCAGAGCGTGTCCGAACTGGTACAGTATGAATGGTATTTCAGCACAAGCAGAACCCAGAAGATCAACATGGAACTATCCGACCAACCACATACTTTACAAACCACTCTCTCCCCTCACCGACAAAACTACTAACTAATCACAGTAATATCCCTACCACACGACCCATTGCTGTACCCGACAGACACCCGTATCCCTACCAATGCATGAATGAATGCATGAATGAATGCATGAATGCATGAATGCATGCATGAATGCATGAATGAATGCATGCATGCATGAATGCATGAATGAATGCATGAATGCATGAATGAATGCATGCATGAATGAATGCATGAATGAATGCATGAATGCATGAATGAATGAATGAATGTATGTATGTATCCCGACCACACAACCCTTTACTGTACCAAACACCCGTATCCCTACCACACAACCCATTACTGTACCACACAGACACCCGTATCCTACCACACAACCCATTACTGTACCAGACACCCGTATCCCTACCACTCAACACATTACTTTACCAGACACCAGTATCCCTACCATACAACCCTTTACTGTACCAAACACCCGTATCCCTACCACACAACCCTTTACTGTACCAGACACCCGTATCCCTACCACTCAACACATTACTTTACCAGACACATGTATCCCTACCATACAACCCATTACTCTACCTGACACCCGTACCCCTACCATACAACCCATTACTGTACCAGACACCTGTATTCCTACCACACAACCCATTACTGTACCAGACACCCGTATCCCTATATAGCCATGAATAATGTCTGTTCTCATGTTTTGGTCAAAGCTTGCTCATGCATCCATTTCTAAAATCAATACCTGCGACCCACCAAACCGCAGCCTGGCTATTAAAGCAATCGAACAGGTTTTCAGACTCATCTGGAATCACGGATGTATCAGTTCAGAGCTGAGCAGTTAATGTTACTTTCATATTTCTATCTTGTCACACAAAGTCATTTTCACATTCCTGTCTAATCGTCAAGCCAGATGTATCATCACTGTGTCCGTTCACTTGGCGATAACACAACACGGCGGCTTCTCTAGTACTTTGTAAGTGTGGCAATATGGTAGGTCATCGGCCTAAACAGCCTGCCGTTGTTGATTTGATGTTTGTTTTCATAACGCGCCCACAGGTAGTTCGGTCTTGTATGCTGATGTTGAGTAAATATCTGAGTGTTGAATATCTTAAGCCATGTAAACAAATGCAAACACGTGACTTATTGACAGACAATATATTCCGCCCTTGGCGTTGCATAGCAACATACATATACAGTTGGCCATTGAGTAATACGGAGTCTATTCATCTGACAATCACTCTTCAGTTAGAGAAACTGTTTTATACCTTTAGAATTGTCACAAAAACGAAGCTCTCCTTGTATCATTGTCTTGTCACTTATACTTTCCTCTTCAGAGCCAAGGTGTATGTGGGGTGGGTCGTATTATTGTATTATATATTAGATATAGGATTTTAACAAAGTGTTGATTAAACAACGCTACCATCATACCCTGTATTGAGGCGTGTGGTGACTCATGTGAAGGGTAATGTCGGGGTGTATGGTGACAAGCCCTACTTACTGACACGCCTGCATCCAGGAGACGAGTAACCGTTTCTGTAACTCCACCCCGGGTAGCCTCATGTAACTGCTCCTCCTTGCTGCTCCACAACCCCATGCCCTGCCCTCGGGCGGCTTGTGAGGGGGCAAGTCATACACCCGTCCACCCGCTGCGACACAACTCTATGCAAGGTCGCTGGGGATTCGATATCCAGTGTTCAAATGGAAGGCTCCGTTGCCGAGTTTGTGTGTCCTTCAAAGAAACGAGTATGCAAGGCGTATTTGTTAGTGGGTAAAGGCTGTATCTCATGTGTGACAATGTATTGAATCTTTTCTCTTTGTAAGCCGTGGCAGTTCAGTTCAGCTAAGGGCATGCGTTGGCAGGGCAGTTAATCACACGACCTTCACGAAATGAATAGGGTTTGGTGTTGTTTGATCACGCGACATAAAACGCTATATCGTTTTCTTTTTTATGAAGGACACTAACACACAGGTGCGATCGGTCGATCGATCGATTATTCGTATACATTTCTCCCTCAGGAATCAAATCTGAATTCATTCTACATAATTTTACCTAAAACAAACAAATATGACTGAATATAATGAATATCCTTGTGATTATATATTATCTGCCAATAATCATAGACTGTTACCAGCCAAGATAATGACAATGGTGGCTGGTATTGCACGACAGAGTTGCTTTGATTATGTATGCCAGGATCCGCTGACTGAGGTTTGAAATCGCGGATTGGCTAAAGTGATATGCATGATGTACCTGTTCGTTTAGGATATATGACGGATTTGTTTGTTTGTTTACCTACATAGATACATGCGACACTAAAAATACTGAAGTACAGTTAAACCGATTAGAAAGCGACTGAGCAGTATCAAAACGACTTTGACGACCAGTTGATCTGTGACTTGAAGGAGCAGCTTAGCAAGTTCTTAAAGACACACAGTAAGCAATCCCTTGACATCCAGATACCTGGGATCCATCACAAGAATGTTGACTGACATCCAGACACCTGGTATCCATCACAGGAATATTGACTGACATCCAGGTACCTGGGATCCATCACAGGAATATTGACTGACACCCAGATACCTGGGATCCATCACAGGAATGTTGACTGACATCCAGATACCTGGGATCCATCACAGGAATGTTGACTGACATCCAGATACCTGGTATCCATCACAGGAATGTTGACTGACACCCAGGTACCTGGGATCCATCACAGGAATGTTGACTGACATCCAGATACCTGGGATCCATCACAGGAATGTTGACTGACATCCAGATACCTGGGATCCATCACAGGAATGTTGACTGACACCCAGATACCTGGGATCCATCACAGGAATGTTGACTGACACCCAGATACCTGGGATCCATCACAGGAATGTTGACTGACACCCAGATACCTGGGATCCATCACAGGAATGTTGACTGACATCCAGACACCTGGTATCCATCACAGGAATGTTGACTGACATCCAGATACCTGGGATCCATTACAGGAATGTTGACTGACACCCAGGTACTTGGGATCTATCACAGGAATGTTGACTGACATCCAGATACCTGGGATCCATCACAGGAATGTTGACTGACATCCAGATACCTGGGATCCATCACAGGAATGTTGACTGACACCCAGATACCTGGGATCCATCACAGGAATGTTGACTGACATCCAGATACCTGGGATCCATCACAGGAATGTTGACTGACATCCAGATACCTGGGATCCATCACAGGAATGTTGACTGACATCCAGATACCTGGGATCCATCACAGGAATGTTGACTGACATCCAGATACCTGGGATCCATCACAGGAATACTGACATCCAGGGGGATCCATCACAGGAATGTTGACTGACATCCAGATACCTGGGATCCATCACAGGAATGTTGACTGACATCCAGATACCTGGGATCCATCACAGGAATGTTGACTGACATCCAGATACCTGGGATCCATCACAGGAATGTTGACTGACATCCCAGATACCTGGGATCCATTACCTTGGGATCCATCACAGGAATGTTGGGATCCATCACAGGAATGTTGACTGACATCCAGATACCTGGGATCCATTACAGGAATGTTGACTGACACCCAGATACCTGGGATCCATTACAGGAATGTTGCAGTCAGGAGCAGACTGACACCCAGATACCTGGGATCCATCACAAGAATGTTGCAGTCAGGAGCAGACTGACACCCAGATACCTGGGATCCATTACAGGAATGTTGACTGACCTGGGATCCATCACAGGAATGTTGACCAGGTACCTGGGATCCATTACAGGAATGTTGACTGACACCCAGATACCCCAGGAATGTCATCCATTACCAGGAGTTGACTGACACCCAGACTGACACCCAGGTATCCATCACAGGAATGTTGCAGTCAGGAGCAGACTGACACCCAGATACCTGGGATCCATTACAAGAATGTTGCAGTTAGGAGCAGACTGACACCCAGATACCCGGGATCCATTACAGGAATGTTGACTGACACTCGGGTACCTGGGATCCTTCACAGGAATGTTGCAGTCAGGAGCAGACTGACACCCAGATACCTGGGATCCATTACAGTAATGTTGCAGTCAGGAGCACATTGACTTTGAGATATCCGGGTTCCATAGCACAATCTGGTTGACCAAGAAGGGTGATGGTGTAGCATTAGGTTGCAGTGACTGGGTTCGACTCCAAACGCGTACCATGTGCAAGAAGGATTTCTGGTGTTGTCCGAGGTAGACGGAAATTGCGGCACATTCTAGACACATTGATAAAATTACATTAGGAAGAGACATCAAATGAATACACATTAAAGAACAAATAAACTTTGGGTTTTTTTTAACTCTTTTAACTATTACATATGAAAGATTTGTGGTTAGACTTATGAGGAACACCAAATTCATTCTTAAAAAACTTGTGGTTAATTAATACCGAGCGATTAAAAGTTGCCAAAAAGTCGCCTGCTTCACTCTCGCCCGCCAACGAAACCACAGACAGGTTACGTAACTCTGTCGCCAGAGCACTGCAGTGACGTCATATGAGGAACGATTTTCAGTTAGTTGTATAGAAAGTGTGTAGCACGCTCATCATTTTGATGATTTCTCGACATCAACGACGACATGCCGAATCGTTGCTTTGTCGTCAATTGCTCCTAGGGGTCGGGCGATGGTGTCACCATGCACAGATTTCCACAGGACCCCGCAGTTCGTGCTAAATGGGATATGTTTGTGAGTGCGAAGCGAGCGTTGTGGAAGCCTGAAACGATATCTTACTTGTGTTCAGATCGCTTCACGGAAGTTAAAGAATCAAAACTATTTACTAGTTGTAGTAAAATATGTATATGATTGATGACCATAAAGATTTTCCATGACACAACTTGTAACATAGCGATTTCTTCCTCGGAAGTCAAGTTGTGGCGGAAGTAACAATAATAATGTAAGTAGTATTATATTGACACCCTTCTCGCTGCCACAAGAGAAATTGTTATGTTATAAGCTATGTCATGCAAAATCCTATTGGCCATCAATCAAATACATATTTTACTACCAGTAGAAAGTAGTTTTGATTTTGTAACTCGGTGAAACAAACCTAAATAGCATTTATCCTCAGACTGGCGTATGTTCGCGACAGGGCGCCGCCATTTTTGAAAATCGTAAAGTCTGTTAGAATTAATGAGATTATGGTTTGTTTTCATCAAGTTAGAAAATCAAAACTACTTTCTAATCGTAGTTAAATATGTATTTGAATCATGACCAAAAGGATTTTGCATGACACAACTTATAACATAACGATTTCTTCCACGGTAGCGAGGTGGGGGTCGAAGTCACAATACTGCGCGATAGATTTCTTGCTACATTCACGTGGTTAACGTCCACTCACCAGTATGTAGATACTAGTCAATGTACGTCTTTATATTTGGTCTTATAATCCTAATTAGTTTATTATCATACTTGTATGCATTTAGAAACTAAATAGAAAGCAGACGATCTGCTGATACTTATAGCGCATTTATAACAGAATTGTAATATCTAGACATTTTATAGTTTGCCAATGTGAATCATAATTCGCACGCACACCCTAGTCTATGTTGTCTGTCTCATTACACTTCACGGCGAAAACAATGATTCTGTTGAATGCTACGACAAATGAATAAAAACAAAATGCAAATATTAAAATTAAGACAGATTAAAGTTATAGGAACAATGTCAAACTTTTATCTTGTTCGAGGAATGTATCCATCAATATCCACGAACGTGTGATATGCCATTCATCTGCAGCTGTTCCAAGTGATGTGTCTTTTAACAGTTTAATATACGAAAAAGTGATAAATCTTTTCAGGTATTTCACATTGGTGTATAGTCTCATTGGTCACCCAAGATAGCACACCTGGCAACTAATTGCATAATGTCCGCCTTTCTTTAAAAACAGTAATTTAGTTAGCCAATAATGGGCAATCAATCAATGTATTGCCGGTTAATCCTTTGAAAGAAGGACGTTGTTTTTACGCAGACACCGACACGACAGAGTGTATTCAGTATAGATTAGTAAATCTACACTACCTTTTGACAAATGCGCTGTGTAAAATAAAAGTAATTAATCAATCGGCGTGTTATCGGTTAATCCTTTGATCGATGTTTATAATGTTGAATATTTACTCCAGACACAAGAAATGCCAAATGGGAACCTTTGACGGGTAATCTAAGTGTGTTACCACTAATTATACCTGTTATAAATTCATTAATTGACCATCAAGTGAATGATGACAAATAACATGTGTAGGTTTATACATCCTAACACGGGTTACAACAAGGGAGTATTAATTGCTGTATTGCATGTGAAAACTTATGGGCCGGCACTGTTTTGAGAATACAAACAGATTTTTACATGACCTGATTAAATATCGAGGTAAAAAAACACAGAAATAGGATCAATTTGGATCAGTCATTATACAAATAAGGCCTAACGACACCAAGCGATTTTGACAGAATCGTCTATGAAAACAAGTTGTAACTCGGAAACTAGGCAAAGCAGGAGACACAATTAAATGACAGTAGATTGTGAGAACATATAGCTTTCATTTTCCACAACAGTTGTCACGATTTCAGGTTTATACAAACCTGTAAACAAGATAATTTACCCCCTGAAATGTAGATGAATTCTGCATCGGCCCTCATATCTATTCCTCATATGACGTCACAGAGACGCCCCGCTCTGATTGGTTGAAATTTCGTTCGCAGGTGAGAATTGTGCACTGTTGTCAAAAAGGTCGATTTAAGTTAATTAAAGACCGAAGTGAGTAGTTTTATTGACGGGGTTTCATTTATACCGATGCCAGTTAGTGATTTATGTATTTGTACCCCCTAGAGTATATGTGATCTTTAATAGAGACAATATATAAATATACATTAACAGAGACGATATATAACTACACGTCAAAATAGAGACAATATATAACAACATTATATATATATATATATATACATACTTCAAATCGTGTTGACCAGTAGGCCACTTTGAACAAGAAACACATTCGGTCTACCAGGAATATGACCTGTATGAACACGCCAAGGGTATACCCTAGGATAAAGTGTTTACCTACATAGATAAACGTGTACCAGGTCAGGCCAGATAACGAATGGTTGACTGAAGAGCAACATGAAGGTGAAATGAGGACCAGTGGGAAATATCAGGAGGTGCAGCATAGTTACAGACAGACAGAATATATTATAAACAAATATCCTGAACAGATTTATCGCTTTCACAATATATGTGTAACAGATGATTCTAGCTGTACAGATAACGACGTCAAATGTGTGCCTATAATGATATCAAATGAGATGAAAGTTGTGTGAAAATCTACATATAGACATATATCCTCCTAACTCCCAAACACCATCATCTTTCATCTTTCATTTTTGTACAGTCCGAATGCATTAGTGTGCACAAATAACATCTGACACAGCAAACATGGGCTCGTTACTTACACGTGCACAAGCCTGCCGATCACGTACGAATCTCCACATTTCCTGATGCGGTCATCCGTCCCACACATGCAGTGGTACTGGCGTCTGGTCACCCGCTGTGTAATCCCAGGTATCTCTTGTCCTCCGCAGTGTGTTTATAAACAAAGCCTAGAGTGACCACAAACAAGTTGAAAACTCTCACTCTTGTCACGTAACATGTTGTACGTGAGAAGTCAGCAATAAGCGCTTTCTGAGGACTGATATATACTGAGTTGGGGCCGATGAGTGGAAAAGCGTGACCCTTATCAGCACGTACAAAGAGCTATCTATAAGTAGGTCGACGTTGTTTCTACGCAGTCTGGGCAAGCATTTGGCATGAATCAGCCCCTACTGTGGATATTTATCAGTGCAACTTATAGACGTGTGTACGTATGCTCGTTAAGGGCTCGTTATGTACACAACATGCCCTTCATCGCGGATAGGAACAAAACGATTAAGTTCAACACGATCAACGCGTTATGAATAACGATTTCTGCCTTTCATTGTTGAACATATGGCAATCGGAGACAATGTTCTTAATCAATAAAATGAATAAGTCCCACCCTATGTGTATTGATTCAGTGAAGACGGTGTTTTGTGGTTGATTCAAATAATAATATTTGTATTCAACTATACGGGCGGCGGGGTAGCCTTGTGGCTAAAGCGTTTACTCGTCAAGCCAAAGACCCGGGTTCGATTTCCCACATGGGTACAATGTGTGAAGCTTATTTCTGGGGTCCCCCGCCGTGATAAGGCTAGAATACTTCTAAAAGTGGCGTAAAACTAAACTCACCCACAAACTCACTCGACTATTATGTTATTGTATGTTATGTTGTGAAGACACACGCATTAATTGTGCTGCTTTGTGCAGCGTGAGCAGTATTTTAGATACAGTACAGCACGGGTACTGAATGTGGGATCGATGTTATGTCGCAGTGCACTTGATTGTGTAACAATGTTCCAAGTGTATTAATCATTCAACCGTGGATAGTCAGTGACATTGGGGGCTATATTTAGACGTGTTCTATATTTGGACTTGTAGTAGGTTTAGACAGAAGGTCTGGAAAGAACTACAAGGAACCTATTTCAGAACCGTCTGCCATAGTGTAGAATGTTCTGGCATCATGTCTTTGGTATACGGAGGGAGTTAACTCTTGCCTCTCATCTCACATAACACCTATAGTTACCAGATTGTTTGTTTGTTGTTTAACGCCGCACTCAGCAATATGCCAGCTTCAAGGCAGTGGTCTGTACACTGGACCACATCACGTTACCCGAACTTCAGCATTGTTGTGTGTGATGATCACTACACCCTGCCTAGGTCTAGTTGTAATGTGGGGCAGTTGGGTAGCCTGGTGGTTACAAGCCTTCGCTCGTCACGCCGAAGACCGGGTTCGATTGCCACATGGGTACAATGTGTGAAGCCCATTTCTAGTGTCCCCCGCCGTGATATTGCTGGAATGTAGCTAAAAGCGGAGTAAATCTAAACTCACTCACTGGTTGCAAGTTTGTTTGTTGCAGCTGAGAGGTGGATAAAAGATTTAGGGCAAATGATCCAAATCTGGTGTTCGCCATCTCAAAGATGGTGACTCTTTTAACAAATAAATTTGAAATTGCAAATAAACTTGGCGAAACTTTTGCAAACCACTCCTCTTCGACAAATTGTAACCCCAAGTTTCAGAAATACCAAACGCAACAAGAAAAGAAATCAGTCAATTTTAACTCTGATAATGGTGAGGATTACAATGAAACGTTTTCTCTCCATGAACTACGTACTGACCTGGGGCAGACTCACGACACTGCAGCAGGAGCTGATGATATTCATTACCAGCTTCTCAAACACCTCCCTGATTCAAGCTTGGAAACTCTACTCAGTATATTTGATGACATTTGGACAACCGGCAACTTTCTTCCTTCGTGGCACAATGCCATTATCATCCCTATACCAAAACCTGGCCGGGATCATACTGATCCTACAAACTACCGTCCTATATCACTAACTAGCTGTGTCTGTAAAACCATGGAGCGCATGGTCAACAATCGATTAATCTGGTACTTGGAGACCAATAACCTCCTTAGTGACCTCCAATGTGGTTTCCGAAAGAACCGAAGTACCATTGAACATCTGGTGCGTCTGGAATCTTTTAAAAAAAAATCCATTGTCAACAAACAGCATACTGTATCTATCTTTTTCGATTTAGAAAAAGCATACGATACAACGTGGAAACATGGTATCTTAAAAGATTTACATGAATTTGGACTGAGGGGCAGATTACCTCAGTTCATATCTCAGTTTTTAAACAACAGACAATTCCAAGTACGGGTAGGTTCCACATTGTCCGATTATTTCCACCAAGATCAGGGCGTCCCTCAAGGCAGCATCCTGTCTGTCAGCCTTTTCAGCATCAAAATTAACAGCCTCACTAACGTCTTGAACAGTTGTGTTGATGGGTCCCTTTTCGTGGACGATTTCAATATTTCATGTCGTGGTAAGAACATGCACGCAATAGAAAGGCAGCTACAACTCTGCCTTAACAAAATCCAAAAATGGGCGTCAGTCATGGCGTCACGCTACACGGAAACTTTGACAATGTCTTATGAATTATCAAATCATTGCATTGTATCTATTTATAATTTCCTATTTCTTGCTACGATACTCTTCCCATGGATATTCCAAAGGTATTGAGCCATTGCAAGCTTAGAATAGACGGATGAATGTTGAAAATTTTCAGAAAATATTAGGCAGTGTAAAATCGGAATTTGTCTTTGTTTACATTTCAGACAAGCGCAGTCATCCAAGCACAGCGTTCGTTTTCACACCCAATCTGTTTCGTCTCATTTTATCTAGACAGTTGGTATTGGTGACACAGACCAGTTGCAATTTGATTCTAAAATGTATGGGGAATTCAGTGATGCATTTTTAGAAGCTGAATATGAAATATACGTGATGTAATAGGCGTCTCAGTACCGGCCTTCGCGAAACGTGATTTTGTAAACACTATCCAATATGGCGGAAAGCGCTCTACTGTGTTCGTGTAGGTGCATTTTCGAAAACATCCCAACCGATTCTAGTTCATCGGCAACGTTTCAGAATTATAATTAGCGATTTCATGTAAAACTGATATCAGTGATCATGAATATGTTATTTTTGAAATTCAATACTCCCAGTAATTATCCGATTTTCACATTTCAAAACATACAGCAAATAACGCTGTGAATCGCGATTTCGTACTGTGTCCAAAATGGCGACATTTTCGATGAAGCCTTTTTGAGAAGTCATTTTCAGCACTTGAGCTTTGTCTAAAATAACAGTGGATGGTATCAAGAAACAGGAAATTTCAGAATTCGAAACTGTGAAGTGTATTTGTGTGCGTGAGATATTTTGATTTTTATTGGACTTGAAATTGAGGGTTGAAGGGGAAGGACATATATGTCCCTGTGGCATCCGGGGGTTAAGTTTTCAAAATCCAAAACAAATTGTATTCACTTTTGTCGTAAATACAAACCACACAAGGATCCAGGCCTATCTTTAGATGGTACTCTCATCAAGGTAGTAGAAGAGGCCAAATTCCTGGGACTCATATTCGACCGTCACCTGACATTCTTACCACACATAAAATATTTAAAAACCAAGTGCTTGAAGGCTCTGGACTTACTAAAAGTCGTTTCAAATACAGAGTGGGGAGGGGATCAGACTACCCTCCTTCACTTGTACAGATCTTTGGTTCGGTCTAAACTAGACTACGGCTCCATTGTTTATGGTGGAGCCTGCAAAAGCAATTTAGAAAATTAGATTCTATCCACCACCAAGGCCTGAGGCTCTGCCTGGGAGCTTTTAGGACCTCTCCGGTAGACAGTCTATATGCAGAGGCTAACGAACCTTCCCTTGAACAACGCCGCATTAAACTTTCACTGCAGTATATCACTAAATTACGCTCAAATCAGACCAATCCAGCATACAATTGTGTTTTCAACCCTCTCTATGAAAACCTGTTTCCTAAACTGCCAAGCCTGGTTCCACCACTTGGAATCAAAATTCAACCACACATATCTGCAGCTAAAATTGATCTCAATAGCATAGCACCTTACCGACTCCTGTCTTCGCCACCCTGGCAGATGGTGAAACCACAGGTCGATCTTACCCTCACTAAACTCAAAACGTCCGAAACAAATCCCTTGGTGTTCCAGCAGGAATACAACCAGTTACGTTCCAAGTATGACACCCATAGATCCATTTTCACAGACGGATCCATGGATGGGGCCAAGTTGCCAGTGCTACAGTCATTGGATCCAAGACTGTCTCCTCTAGGATTCCTGACAACAATTCCATTTTCACTGCCGATGGCAAAGCTATCTTTTCAGCTTTGACCTACATTAAACAGCAGAATCATTTCCAAAACTTCATCGTTTTTACAGATTCATTATCTTGCCTTCAAGCACTTCAAAATGTGACTTCAAGTCACTTTCTACTGACCAATATGACATCGTCATCTACTGGTTGCCGGGTCACGTCGGCATAGCAGGTAACACAAAGCCGACGCTGCAGCTAAAGCAGCTCTTTACAAGCCCTTATCTCCACTGCTGATTCCGTACAGTGAATTCAAACCCACTATCAAAAGCTATACTCGGGACCTCATGCAAAAAAGGTGGGACACTCAAGTAGGAAGAAATAAACTGTATGAAGTGAAGCCAACAATTGGTTATACCTACTTGGGTTGCCAGTCAAGACGTGATGAGGTAATTTTACGACGATGTCGTATTGGCCACAGTCGGTTTACACATGACTATCTGCTGAAAACGGATGGGGATGGAACCCCAAGTGTGTCTCTAGCGATGAAGTTTTCACCATCAAGCATATTCTGCTTGACTGTGTGGACTTATCGTCTGCAAGGGACTCGCATTATGATGCAACAAATCTAGATTTGTTCTCCCGCGTGAGCGCTCATCTGATAGTGACCTACCTGAGGGAAGTCTGTATCATAAATTGTAACTGTGTAATGTGACTAACAAACTGCCTGCTTTTAAATTTAGTGCTATGACTTTTTCTGTTTTTAAATGACAATGTAATGAATATACGTTTTTTTTAATAAAACTCAGTTTGACTCTGTACTTTGTTTATTAATGCAGACTTGTTCTCGTCACTATATAATGGAATAATGCCGATGTGACGTAAAGCCCAACTCAACTCAACTCGTATGACATTACTTTTGAATGTGTCCTGCCATAGTGATCTCTGTAGCGATATGTATTGAGCTGTGAACTTGCTTCATTTTACAATACGGTCGTTAATTACATCACATCTCCTTTGTTGTTTGGATTGATTCCCTGATAACTGTTTAATTTCAACTTAAAATATCTTTCAACACGTAACAGGGACGAAATGCTACAGTGATTCAGCCCGAATAATGTGTTCACTTCGTTGACAACCTTGAGCGCGGTTAGTGTGTCGTATTCACCTAGTCCCTAGCAAAAGCCTAAAGCTAGGTTCCCATATGTACGTATTGTCTGCGTAATTGCGTAGTGCTTAGTGCGTAGTGCTTAGTGCGTATTACGTGATCGTAGTGTCCAGTTCCATGTGTGCGTGTCTAAAGGATATGTGTTGCGTTAAATAAAGTCCTTCCTTTCCTGGAGATTGTACTGATCACAATTGTTATCTACAATGCCACCTTGTTTCTCAAAGAACGCTAGAGAACTAACAGACATAACGGAGGATAAAGAGGATGTGATTATTGCAGGTTTATTGTACTGTTATGTGAAAACACGAAGGCCCCGGTGGTGGATGCCTGAACTCCTGATACAAAGAAGGAGGGTTCAATTAACTGTTCAGTATCCTGGGTACCGAATTTCTTGGCATTTTGCAACTTGTGTGCACAATGAAAACCACGTGACATTGAGAAAACCCCTTGGGAATCCCTACTTCCGGCCTCCGTATAGCGGCGTGATGCGTATTGGACACTTTTTGAGCGTAAGCATGCACTACGTACTATGTATCACGCATCACGTTTTACGAGTGCATGGAAACCGCTAGTACTATTTTAGTATAAAGTGTTGTCAAGCGGAGTTGTCATCACTAAATGTTGTTCTAAGCAACGTTGCGGGTCCTGACTTGCGGGTGGTGTGTAGATGAAGCTGGGTGGGGGACTGACGAGTTAGTTAATTGTAAAGTGTTATTTCATGTCGCTGAGTTCTGGGTCGGTTCTAGCCTGGGTCTAACTACATTTATCATATACCTATGAATAATATGCACCATCTTGCAGATACAATACTGCCTGTCGGCATATGTCCATATTGACCACCCGGGTAGAAATTGCATATCTGCCCTAGCGCCGAAAATGCATACAAGCCGTATTGCCCGGCTTCTAAAAAGGAACGGAATGAATACACGCGAACGCTCGAATCTTCAATGGACAGAGCCTAGTTTATGTTATTTTAGAGTTACGTCCCTTGATGTGGTATATAAAACAAAGTTTATGATATGACAGTTTCCCTTTCGCCAGTAATATCTGCCACACCCATTCATTCGGCCACTATTACACCGTAACGTTCACATCTTCAACAACCCAAGGGCGTCCTAAGAAGTGACAAACGGGTTTAAATGGTCAGTCTGACCTTATGCAGGTCATTCACCATGTCTTTCAGCAGATGGATGCTAATGCCACCACTCACTGGATTACCTGGCGAGGATTGCTGGATCTCGTTGTGGCACATACTCACTGTCCATACAGCTGAAATATTGTTGGATATGGCTTAAAACAACAAAGACCACACTGATTTTACACATGTCGTTATTATTACGAGCATATGTTGTTGTAACCAAGCACAGATGACCCCCTCCCATACATTAGCCTTTTGATTGACAATTGTGACATATTACTGATAATGAAAGATGTTTCCAGTATAATGACAACAAATGAATTGCAGCATAGATTGGAATGTAATCCGTCAAGAATACACTGCATACAAATCTAATGATCATAATAATCATAATGCATAATAATGTTATAATGATTAGAATACAACAGATGTTTCTGCATACGTACATCTAAAACAAACATTACAAACAGAAAGTGTGAACAGGTCTTCTCTAAAAGTCAATTCCTGGGATCTCCTTAGTGCCTGGAGCGGAAACAATCCAAATTCGAATGAGGAACGCTCCTAGCAATTTATGAAGCTGTAAGCATATTTACATAAAGATTAGTTTTGAAGGTCGATAAACTCATTACTCAAGGACTCTCGTAATAAAATCAATCGGCCGTCTTCATCCTTCCTCTGCCTCTGATGACGACAATGACTACAGTGATGAGAAGCACAAGGATGATGAGTCCAGCACCTCCCGCAGCAGCGACGATGGTAACAAGTTCATTGGACCAGGCGTCGGGGGGCTGTAGAGCAAGACACACAGAACCACATATAACTGCATTACATGAATATACACACATAGTTATAACATCAAATCCATGTTCATCATCATTTATTTGAACCTACATTTAGAACAAATTATTTATAAAACACGTATATAAGTATCTCCTTCAATCAATAATGTGAATGGTGATTTAGGAGGACATAAAACAATCTATTTCTCCAGGATTTACTTGGTTGACGAACCTGAGTTATTGGCTTGCAGGACTGAAATGGCTTCGTCAGTCCTGGGGCGAGATCAAACACACACTGACCGGTGTTGCTGGCGAGGTCGACAGCGATGATGTAGACAAGTGCTTTACAACAGTCGCCCCTGCCGGAAAACACACTTTTTTTCATTATTTATGATTAAAACGTGGAGTCACTTCATTAGTGGGAGTATTTCTTCGAGAGAGGAGTTGGCATTGATGACAAGTGACCGGTCATAACTGCTACTGAAAAATATATTAATTCCTGTGAAACAATATAGACAAAAGGCAACCTTTTTTACCCTTCTTACCCATGTGAAACAGATTGCCAATAACTGAGTTTTGACATGCTTACGTGATTGCAGCAGATATGGTGCCGTTGTAACCAAGGGTGAAATTGTCGTGTCGGAACGATCCTGTTGCATTAATAGAAGCGGTCACTTGGTAGAGTCCAAATCCATCGTCTTTGATTTCAGCAGACCCTGACCACTTGTACTGGCTGCACACACAAGGGTCAAGCATTGTGACGTCACAACTACCTGTCACCGAGGTGACGTTGCAGATAGGGATGGTGTCATCTTCTGCCTGAAAATGCATGTAACCCGAAACGTCTCGGAAACATTTGGGACGGGTATCTTTCTTCCGACAGCTACAACCGACATACGTCATTATTCTGTTGCGCTTACACTGGCAGAAATCTGCATATACTGACAATTATCTGTTAGTGCATATACTGACAATTATCTATAGGCCCTTACATTGACTTACACTAACAAACATATGTTGGTGCTTACACTGACAAACATCTGTTGGTGCTTACACTGACAAACATCTCTTGGTGCCTACACTAACAAATATCTCTTGGTGCTTAAAAACATCTGTTGGTGCTTACAAGCAAACTGTTGGTGCTTAGACTGACACTAGCAAACATCTGTTGGTCATGACGTTGACAAAAACATCCGTTCCTGCAGGTCTCACACTTACCCTGACCACACGCTCTTCTGTGGAGACAATTACGACATCGAACTGGAATTCGTCCCCAGTAGCGGCAGATGCCGACGCAGAAACGGTCACAGTGCTGTGAGAGTATGAGAAGTGACATTAGTATTGACAATGTTACTTGAATCAATATAAGCCATAACTACGCCCAAAATTTGTAAAAACTAAAGTGTAAATTGCACATCATATCAATGCTGACTATCAAGAGTAAACCCAAATCAATGTCTGATATTGTCACATACAGTAGGACATGTACCTGATCAACCTCACTGCTGGCCTAACATTGGCTGGTCGTGCTCTCAGTCTGATATTGTCACCTGGTGTTGGACTTGTACCTTATCAACTCAACTGCTGGCCTAACATTGGCTGGTCGTGTTCTGAGTCTGATATTGTCACATATAGGACATGTACCTGATCAACCTCAGTGCTGACCTACCATTGGGTTGTCGTGTCCTGATATTGTCACATGGTGTAGGACATGTACCTGATCAACCCCACTGTTGACCTACCATTGGGTTGTCGTGTTCTGATATTGTCACATGCTGTAGGACATGTACCTGATCAACCTCACTGTTGACCTACCATTGGGTTGTCGTGTTTTGATATTGTCACGTGCTGTGGGACATGTACCTGATCAACCTCATTGTTGACCTACCATTAGGTTGTCGTGTTCTGATATTGTCACATGGTGTAGGACATGTACCTGATCAACCTCACTGTTGACCTACCATTGGGGTGTCGTGCTCTGATATTGTCACATGGTGCAGGACATGTACCTGATCAACCTCACTGTTGACCTACCATTGGGTTGTCGTGTTCTGATACTGTCACATGGTGTAGGACATGTACCTGATCAACCTCACTGTTGACCTACCATTGGGTTGTCGTGTTTTGATACTGTCACGTGGTGTAGGATATGTACCTGATCAACCTCATTGTTGACCTACCATTAGGTTGTCGTGTTCTGATACTGTCACATGGTGTAGGACATGTACCTGATCAACCCCACTGCCGACCTATCATTGGGTTGTCGTGTCCTGATATTGTCACGTGGTGCAGGACATGTACCTGATCAACCTCACTTTTAACCTACCTTTGGGGCGTCGTGATCTATCTGATATTGCCACGTGGTGTGGGACATGTACCTGATCAACCCTGCTGCCGAACCAGCTTGCAGTGTAAAGTCTCCAGATGCACTCTGCCCAGGCTCAAGCATGTACTCCAGTGGTATGTTTGTCGATGCAAAGTTCTGATCGTCTCTGATTGTGACAGTTACATTGGATCCAGCGTCACCCTTGTTGACAACCAGGAATGGTACTGACAACTGTTCGTTGATGTACAGGCTTCCTGTAAGAAGACGAAAAATCATGTTGTTCAGCTGGTTGTTGTACTAACATCAACATCGCTGATAAATTTCAAAGCTATGCCATTTATTGTCTCTTACCATTGAGGGGAAGAAGTCTCAGATCGATGCTGACAGGGACAATTCTTCTTGCCCGAAGACGCAGAAATTGGTTTCCCTCCTTGTCAGCGCCTTCTATTGATATTTGGAATGCCTGTATCATCACAAAAGGAGCCATCATATTTCAACTGAGGCTGTTGTTAGTGAGTGGGCTGGGTTTAAGGCGTTTCAGCTGAATGGGACAGGAAAACCAGATGTTATACCAGTGTCGGGCATTTTCCAATTTCGTGAAACCCACAAACATGGGTTTGGTGGTTACAAACATGAATAGGATTCGAACCTAAGATTATAAGTTTCTGGTGGTCTCAAGGAACGCTACCCTGCACAGCCAAGTGTGCCGCCATGGACAACTGGGCCACCCATGCCCCCACTGAACATGTAGTAAACAAACAGGAAATACACCTTCCCAAGCTGATCATATGTCATGATGAGTGGATCATTCATAAAGATCGCATACTGTGCCCAGGGCTTAGTGATAAGATAAGATAATGATTTATTATCAAGTAGGAAATTCTTTGGGGAGCGCCGAGGGGGCACGGGTGTCTCAGCTGTCTAGGACATGTCTGTCATGTGTACAATGATCAAGTATCAACTGATCCAGGGTTTTACCTTCACAGGCAGTGAGAACGTGGTCCTGTAGGTCAGTGAATCAGCTCGTGACGCCACCTGTATCAGTCCGCCATGTCTTGCCAGCTCAACTCCTTGAGTGTCAGTTAAGATAACCTTGTCTACTGTGCCAACATCATCTGACGAAGGAATGCCAAGGATGACTGTGGCATTTTCACCTGTTAATAAAACAGAGTCTTCACCTAATAGTACTGATACAATTTAGTTAAATTAAAGTTGTATGTAGATGAAACAGGAGACTACTTAACAACACAATGATACATAGTGCCAACTTCCATCAGTCTTTATACGGCACTGAGGCACTGGTAAAACATTTTAAATTAAGATACTGATAGGATATTTTACCCGAGTTGTACAATGAGTCGGTTACCTGGAAGTGTAGGGGACTTGGGAGGTGTGTCTTGTCACTGTCATGCTTGACCACTTACAAACCTGCTATAGGTCGTCCGCTGATCTCATACTCAAACCCGGAGATGGGGTCCAGCTTCACAAAGGTTGTAGATATGTCCAGGGTACTCTGAGCTGTCACCTCCACCTCCCAGGTATTGGAACCCTGGCGGGCTAGTCTCCACACGCCCGTTGTTGGGGTCTGAAAACGTCAGTACAACGAAAATCTACATCTCTCAGAATGAACATGAGAAGTGTATTGAAATTGGCAATATAATTATAATAGTTGATAAAGTGTGATATTTTGACTGCATCTGATAGAACAAGAGTTGAAAACAATTGATAAGAATCCATGTCACCTTTTAGTTTCACATGTCATACTGTCATATCATTGCGGGTTCTGCATGTGTCATGTAACCCATCCAGTTCAAATGCTTGTTTCACGGCCACATATCATTGTTTTTTAACTATTAATTTTGCAAAAATTTTCAACAATCCAATGCACCCACCCACAGGCCACATAGAATGATTTTCTTTTGTTGCTGTCGATCTATCCCCTAAGTTGTATTATGAACCGTTATGTTGTAGTTTTACAGGTACCGTTTTCTCACTTGTAAATAACCGGTGATGTACTAGTTGCTTCGGGGGCAAGATACATGTATATGTTTCAAATGTGATATAAATTCATTGAAAGATATATCATTTATTTACACATTTGCTGCAATAAGTAATACTGGCATTACCTTACATTTTGACTCACTCACTCATTTTGGTTGATAGATAAGTTCAGTTATTGGTTACGGAGCTTGAAAACTGCAGGAAAAATGTACACACCTCAACCTTGACCAAAAGTATTCCATCTCCAAGATCAGACACAGTTACATTGGACGAAGCCTCGGTATCTGAAATGACAGTGGACGATACACGGAGCAGTTCCAACAACTGTGATATGTACAAGTATTCTGATCCTAAAATGATTCCGTCACTCATAAACACATTCAAGATCTCTGATCGTTGACATTTACGACCATTTCTCCAGACCAGAGCTTTGAAAAGTGGGAATGATTGCCGGATGTAAGTGATTGTACCTGCCTAAAAGTCTTTTACTATTGCTCGTTCAAAAAGTATAGCTATCTATTGGGCATCTATAGTGATATATACGTCACTCTTCGAGTTATCATCTGATAACATGCAACGTGTATCAGCTTGCTGCCTGAACTTTCTTGTACTATCCTCAACCTGGAGACACGTGGTGATCTAATCCATATGTATGTCATTGGAATATGTCATCGAGAGTTATATCATATTTTACGAGTGTTTAATTCAAATTTGTGTTTCAAATTTGTTTAGGTTTCTCTTTTCAGAGGAATTTGGTAACGTAACCGATCGATAATACCGTGGTCTCGATCAGCTCACAGGTTGCAAACTATCACTGTGAACAATCTCATATGACGTCACAGTATTCCTGACATCATGCTGTCCATACAGGCTGACCAGTCTGGTGTGACCAGTGATGTGATTCCAATATACTTACTGTCAGGTGTATATAGTTTATACACGGGCGTCGTTCTGTTCAATGCTATAATCTTGACTGTAGCTTGGCGAATGGTCTGGTCCACAGGAAAGGTGACGTTCTCGTCAGAAGCTGGTAGAGATGATTTGATGATAGTGACAGAAGACGTTTTAACTGATTCCTGGAACAATAGCTGAATTGATGGAACAAGGCTGGATTAACCTTTGTGAAGTCAGCTGTATTTGTTTGATAGCCAGTTTAAATAGACCACATACTACAAACAATAGTATACTATAGTTCGGGTGAATGTGTACTGTCACTTGATGTTCACTTCATTGTACCTTTATAATCTCAGCGACCTTGGCGATGCCTGCCTTGCTTGTGACGTAGACGGAGCCTCCAGTAGCTGTGGCTAGCCTCCTGTATAAATCCTCACCGTCCGTCGAACGTCTGTTCCTGCGGTTCCTGTTATCATCGCCCTCTGTAAGAGTTTTTCAAATACACGAATGTAAATCTTACCATGTTACAACATTCCCTGACATATTGAACAGTGACATATACAATGGTTTGTTTTAGATAAACAGATTACTCTCACCGTAGAGGGAACACCCGGTGTCATCACTATTACACACTGCGTCATGATGTAGTCGAAACTTAATCGTGCAATGGTTTAATGTTTCATCACTTTTATTGAACGCTGTTTTATATAATGTGTGTTTACCGCTCAGTATTCACGTATAAAGTACAAGTATAGCCATAAAGAACTACTAAAAGAACTAAAAATATACATATTGAGCACCTGTCGACCGCTTCCGTCGAGCACAATCACCGGTTAATATGAACTCAAGATGAACGTTTTTCAAGATAGCCAGTGACAATACTGTGGCTCCCAAATTTGCATCTTTAGCAGAGGCATCCGAGAAGAAGTATAGTTTGGAGTTGTAATTGCAAACAGCCAGAGCTGAAAAATAATTAGGTTTCTTGAAATGCTTATATCCGAATTATACATGTATTTTTCTTGGGGTCCAAGATTGCAGTTTCAAATTGATATGATTTTTTATACAATTGTTGAAGGCAAACCATACAGTTGAAGCATTTTTGACATTTTAGCAATAACTTAATTTATATAATTACATGGCATAATTTACCAAAAGTGCAGACCTTGGCATCACATTGACACAACTCCACTAAATGGGATTTTGGGACCTCAATACTTGATGCCTTATTGATGCACCTAACTGATATTTCTAGATAATAGGCTCTGATAGTGTCGTGGATTATATGAAGTCACTATTCACATGTGTTTTGGGGTACTTATTCCTGTTAGATTCAACATTCACTGAAATGTATGTCACTAACATGACAATCGTTTTAATCTCTAAGTAACAAACCAACCCGTGAAGATCCGGGTTAGAATAGGTCCTCAGCAACCTATGCTTGTCACAAAAGGCGACTATGCTTATCGTAAAAGGCGTCTAACGGGATCGGGTGGTCAGGCTCGCTGACTTGCTTGACACATGTCATCGGTTCCCAATTGCGCAGATCGATGCTCATTCTGTTGATCACTGAATTGTCTGGTCCAGACTCGATTATTTACAGACCGCCGCCATATAGCTGGAATATTGCTGAGTGCGGCGTAAAACTAAACTCACTCACTCACTCACTCTAAGTAACAAACCAATTTATCCTATGGAGTGGGCATTGTCGTAGGTATTTCAGTTATCAGCGTGACATCGTTATGACCTCACCGTTTATGAGGCCAGTCATAGCGTATTCTGGGCAATCGCCGCCACCAGAGACGCTGATCTCGTCCAGATATCGTAGAGCATCATCCCCATCAGCAGTCGTGTAAATGGTATTCAATGACACTGTTCAATAAACACACGTTATAACACGAATATTTATTCACAAAAGGTTTTACGTAAAATGTTTAATGTAGTGTTCACTGGATGTGATGTTAGGATCTTGAGGAAATATAGAACGGTCTCATACTTACACGGGTCATTGAAGAGGGAGAAAATGAAGTTTGCTGGTTCCTCCAGGGTCCCAATCTGACTTGATATTATATCTCGAGTAACAGACTTAACTCCTGCAATGTCATTGCGCATGGAACCAGAATAGTCTATGATCAATACAAACGAGGCTCCAGATTTCAGTTGAAATAAATTGTTGAACTTGTCGGTCCCGATGATACCGCTGATTCCGTATTCTGGCAGAACCAAAGTGTCAAAGAAATAATGGACAATAAGAACTGAAATATTTATACATTGTTGAGCATGGTGCAAATGAAGACTGCATAAAACTGCTACTGATGCAAAGGTTTATGGACATGAACTGTTTTACCTTCATCATCAAAGAAGTACGAGGTGTGTTCAATGGCTGCCTGTGCTGCCACCTGGTGGAGATGACTGTGGGGAGACAGGGACACGAGGGTGGAGTCTTTGTTGATTCCCCCCAGGGCTGCCACTGATGAACTGCTCTCGTCCCTCGCACCGCCATGACTGCATTTGCCCGTTCTGGAGACACTAGGGTCTTCTGAAAATACAGTTGTAATTTGAATTTGAGAAAGGTGTTTGAGTATGGAAGAATTCGACATCGTATTTCAATGTAGCCACAGAAGAAGTAACGTTTATTCACACGTTAAGTGAATGAACCTTGTGACTGCTGACTGAACGTCCACATGTAGACTCAATAAGACAAACATGGGATTGGTCTGATTAACTTGTTCATGCACTTCGATACAACTGATGATGTCTTGGTTGATCAGCCTTTAACAGTGGGAATTTGTTGAAAGAAGCAAATGTAAAACTTACTGTAAGGTTTGGTAACATCTTGTCCGCTTCTATAACCACTTGTCAGAATGAAGCCATCCACAATCATATTGTCTTCACACTTTATGTCTAGCTCTTCACTGTAAGAAAGACAGATGATACATTAATGTGCGAACTTTGTAGCCGACATCCATACTATTCTGATATTGTGAACGATGATTCGAGACAGCCTGTCACCTCTAATTTTATCTGTTTGATTGGCATTTAAGAAGTTCATGAGTAATATAAAAGGTTAATGAGACTTACATGGGCAACAACACTTTGAATTATGGTCTAGAATTGCGTGATTAACAAAATCAAACTACCCTTATTTTTAGAAGAAGGTATCTAAATTTTCAATTTAAACTTTTCTTCGTGTTTCGTTTATATTGTCGAAATTTAACGATACTTTTGCTGCAAGAGGAAGTTTCATTCCTTATTATTGCTAAAAAAGGCAGTTGCTTGTGCCACCATCATCAATTGGATCCAGAACAATAGCTTCTCCATTACCAAATATCAGTTTCTTATCCCATACTCTGATTACAAAACCGTAATTAAATCTTACATCCGTGATCTAATGCAAGCGACGTGGAACACCCAAGTAAGTATGAATAAATTACGTCAAATAAACAAACTATCGGTTACACCTATGTGGGTGGTCATTCTAGATTTGAAAAGGTCATTATGCAACGATGTCGCATTGGCCTTACAATATGTATCCATATGAGATTCATTACAAAGTGTCCTCCATGTTGTATCTCTAATTATGAAAAGAATCATGTTTAATGAAGTTCAGCTTGACTCTATTGATTTTTCCACCACAAAGGATAAATATTTAGGTGTAAAAACAGTGAAGGATATTTAAATAATGTTGATTATCTTTGATAATTGGTGTAACGTAAACAATACGTTCTGTAAATAGATCAGTCGTATTATATCATTGGTAGCTTAAATGATAACTGAGAATGTTAGTGGCTGTATCCTCAAAGGGGGTTAAAGTACTAATGGTCCTAAGTATGGTGTTCAACCTTTAGTTGCTGGCGATCAACAGCCCGTATTTTAATTGTATTAAATGTAATGTGGTATCTTTCTGATAAATAGAATATATGCATATTTAAAATGGTTTACTTTGTGACAGATATTTCATATATTTAACACGATCACTTGTGTCGTCACTATATTATGGAATACTGTAAGGGACATTCTTTTGTTGGCCAAAATCTCGCGTTCTCGCGATCTCGTATTCTCGTGTTTTTGGTGCATAGCACTTTTTGTCAAAAGTCGACAACGCGAAAATGCGACATTTGTACATGCTGTCAAATCTCGCAAACTCGACTCGAAATAAGGCCACAAAAACACTACATCGCGAGTACGGGAGAATGCGACATTTCCTTTTCTCGCGTTCTCGCGTTCTCGCGATCTCGCGTTTTAGACGTTGTCGTTGCGCATGCGTAATATCATAAGGCCAAGGCGCATGCGCATCATAGTAGTACTGTGGTCATGCTTCTTTCATGCTTTTCATTTCCCAAGCAGCATTTACCAAAATTATGACATAGCTTGAAAATGCTATGTAATTTACATACACGAAGTGTAGGGTAGCGTATATAAGTCCGCTCCCGTTGTTACTATTTACTGTGTACTTAAAAACTCTTTCAGTGTTGTCACAACCCCTAGTGTACAGTACACAACCCTGTGCACTTAAAAGAACCCACGAACCCGATGGTATATGACCAGATGGTGGTCACATGAATACATGCAAACGCTTAGTTGCTGGTACAGCAACGTGCAGTGAAACTTGGACAAAGTACTGTGACTATGTGTCCTAGTCCACCCTGCTGTGAATGGGTACCTCGTTAGGATGAGAAAGGCACAATAAACTAGGTGCGCCTAGAGGCAGCAAGAGTTGTATACTCCCAAGGGAGTTGAGATTGATAATACTACGTGCCGTTGAGATTGACATCCAATGATCGAGGGAAAAATATACCAGCGCCTTGAGCAAGGAGTAGTTGCGTGGATATGTGCGCTATATAAATATAATGTTAATAATAATAATTCATCCCTGTTACATTCCTAATTTCTTTACTAGATGAAATACTCCACAAACATAGCCCTACTGAAAATGATTGATGCATGTGAATCGAATCCTTCGACAGTAATTGTACACATGTGCCTTAAAAAGTAAAAAGTAAAATGTAATTAAATATTCTTTCGCATCCCATTTTTTTAATAGAAATTAATCGAACTCTGTATTTAAATTTAATGCGGCCTTACCTTCACAAGCTCGGCATGCTAATACTGGAAATAAGCCCCCATTCTCGGCCGGGGTACGTGCGTTGCTCTGAATAAGTGAGTGAGTTTGGCTTAACACGCCTTTCAACAGTATTTATCTTTTCAGTTATATCACGGCTTGTCAGTTCGATATAGGATGAAACCCACCAACATAGGTTTCGCAAGGGACGCAACTCAATTGCGAAGCCTCAGACAACTGAGCTACCCATGATCCCGGTTCAAGATGACTGTATAGGTAATTGGCAGAAAAACGCGAGATCGGGAGATTTGTCAAGTGTCGCAATCTCGCGTTCTCGCGTTTTTAAAAATCGTTACATAGAACTGTATGGGCATTGGCACAAAGGGACGAGAACACGAGAACGCGAGATTTGTTAAGTGTCGCAATCTCGCATTCTCGCGTTCTCGTGTTTATGAAAATCGTTACATAGAACTGTATGGGCAATTGACACAAAAGCACGAGAACGCGAGAACGCGAGATTTGTTAAGTGTCGCAATCTCGCATTCTCGCGTTCTCGTGTTTATGAAAATCGTTACATAGAACTGTATGGGCAATTGACACAAAAGCACGAGAACGCGAGAACGCGAGATTTGTCAAGTGTCACAATCTCGCGTTCTCTCGTTTCTTGTGCTTTTGAAAATCGTTACATAGAACTGCATAAGTAATTGGCATAAAAGCACGAGAACGCGAGATAGTGACATTTGTCAAGTGTCGCAATCTCGCGTCCTCTTGTTTTTTAAAATCGTTACATAGAACTGTATCTGCTGCGCCAACCGCATGCCCAATTGATGGTATAAGTAAAGACTGATGAACAAAGATGAAATCTTTTGAACCTGATAATATTTCCATCTTCATTATGATGATAAGAAATGAAAACATTTGAAGGTTAACCATATGTCAGTGGTAAAAATGTTAGGACTGAAAAATAACGAAGTCAATGTACGTTTATTTTTTATATCTTGTTTTATAATCCTAATTAGTTTATAATCATATTTTTATGCATTTAGAAACTTACTAAGAAGCGCACGATCTGCTTATACTTATAGTGAATATATAACATGACTGTAATATCTAGACATTGTGTATATTGAGTCAAAAAAGAAACTTCACAAAATGTAATTTGGAAAATAATGAATAATTTCTCCGATGATACATCTGATGATACATCTTTGTATCCGAAATAGGATCCCTATCTTTCTACTCTAGAAAAACGTTAGCAAAACCCACTCAAACCCATCCGTTCGTCGTGCAAATGACGTTAGTGCCAAATCAGGTTTTGCACGTGCAGTCGATCACGTGATCTTCGCATCGAAGTTTTCTTCATATGCACGTGTTTGCATTGGCCTCAAAAATTGAAAAAACACTTTTAATCCACAGTTCTAACGCTACTTGAAATGCCACGATTGTCAAATGTGCAACGTGAACGTGCCGTTGGCATGTTGCAAGCGGGAAGATCAGTTATTGACGTCGCAAGAGCAATGGGATGCAGCCGTCGTACTGTGTATGACTTGCGAGGTCGTCTACAACAAACTGGCACCACTTCTGATCGCCCAAGGTCGGGTCGTCCACGTGTGACGTCACGAGCAGAAGACCGTCAAATCGTCCTACGTCACCGACGTGACAGATTTTTGCCGGCTACACGAACCAGGGCTGAGATGTTTAGAGGTCGACTGTCCTCACAGACCATTCGAAATCGGTTGCGGGTTGCCAATCTCCATTCTCGACGTCCATATCGTGGGCCAATATTGACGCCGTTTCATCAACGTCAACGTCTGCTGTGGGCCCAGCGTCACCTCCGATGGACCCCGAGAGACTGGAATCGAGTCGTCTTTAGCGATGAATCCAGGTTTACCCTCAGATTCGCGGACGGCAGGCATAGAGTGTGGAGACGACGTCGTGAACGGTATGCCCAATGTTGTGTACAGGAAGTCGACAGATTCGGGGACGGAAGTTGCATGGTGTGGGGTGCTTTCTGTGGGAACAACCGTTCTCGACTTCTGGTCATCCGTGGAAACCTCACAGCTGCTGCTTACTGCGACCAGGTGCTCACCCCTGAACTCGTTCCTTTCATGGCGGCTCATGGCCCAGGTCTACAGTTCCAGCATGATAATGCTCGGCCGCATACAGCGATGTTGACACGAAATTTCCTTCAAAACGCTGGAATCAACGTCATAGACTGGCCATCGAGGTCCCCTGACCTTAATCCAATAGAGCACGTTTGGGATGCACTTGGGAGAAGGCTTCGTGGTCTTAGGAACCAACCTCAGAATTTGCAGGAACTTGGCGCTGCCTTGCAAGAGCAATGGCGCAGAATCCCCAACCACGTGTTCACAAGCATCAGGCAGTCGATGAGGAGACGGTGTTTGGCAGTGGTGAATGCGCGGGGCGGCCATACACGATACTGAAGTGAGAAATTTCGCATTTATATTCTTGTGACTTGACATTCTGTATACCCATGTTTTGGAACGGCGGTGCAGCCTAATGGAACTGATTATGGCACTGTCAGTGTATCGAGTACATCACACAGATCTCAGCAATGAAATAATAATTTAACCATCTTACCATCTCTTGTTCTTTTATAGTGCCCTGAAGAAAGAATTTGAAGTTTCTTTTCTGACTCAGTATAGATTGTCAACGCGAATCATATTTCACACACACACGCCCTAAGTGCGACCTAGTGTATGTTGTATCATTACCAAACCGAAACATGAGTCTCATCAATCAGTTCAGACAATGCCTACTTTTCATCCGATCCGAATTTTCTCTTGTGAAAGTGAAAAGAGACACTACAAACATCTTAGGTCACACTAAGTTCCAATTCCTTGTTTCATAAGAAAATGGTATTTACAAATTTATTTTAATTTTAAAGTTTTAAAAAGTCGTATCTCTATATCTTATACCGAGGTTTAGGCAGCTTGCCGTTAACTGAGACGTCACAGACTGCCCCGGTTTAATTTAAAGGATAAAACACGACTCCGAGGTTTCGGTAGCAAATGTAAATCCGCAGAGTCCGGAAAATCCCTCGGGCCGAAATTTGCTACCAAAACCGAGGAGGAGTGTTTTATCAAACTTATGAACCGTCATGAATGTAAAACACAAATATGTATTATTTTCACTATGTGCAAATGGTTTGTGTACATGTACTGAGCAGAACAACATTGATGGAACAGCCCGCAAATGATGGAACAGCCGGTGTCAACCGAGATGCGACTGGCGGCCAACACCTTGCCTTGCACGCGCAATGCACGCAGTACCCGTTTTGAGAGGAACACATGGTTCAGACTGACAAACAATCTCATTCTTTCACAGCGATCCTTCGTAGCCTAGTGGATAAAACCGCTAAGCAAGAGAACGAAAGGTTGTGGGTTCACGAAACCAGCTTTCGCCACTATATATTTGAAGTTTTCAAAATGGGATATTTTACGATGAGTGATAGCAAGACATAGTTCTATCAATCATAAATAACGGTCATTTCAAAACTTCATATTATGTTAAATAACGGCCATTTCAAAACCTAGTATAGGTTGTGAAATGGTCGAAATTTAACCTGATATGAGGTTTCGAAACGTGTACTTCAATACCTAGGTTTAGAAATAATCAGTGCAAAGTCAAAGAAGAGGTCTACCTGATTCTGGAAGGAACATACTTTACTACAGACAAAATCAGATAGGTTTATAAGAGGTCGTACAATGATTCACAATTCATCTGGCTGACTGGTTACAATTGTTATGTGTTTTTTGCACATATTGACTTTATTGTTGTAACATACAATATGATTGATATAATATCAAGTCCGTACCAGACCGCATACGTTTATAACATTTGATACCCAGTTCGATGTCAGCAATCAGAAAGTCTTCACCGGAATCTGTTCTTGTTCATAACAATTTTTTAGTCTAATCCAATGCAAGCCGACCCCTCAATTAATGAACTTAGACTCTCCCAGTGTGTTAACACAGTCTGAAATTCGACCGATTAGCACAGAACCATTCAAGCATGATTCGACGGATCGGCACTGCTGGCTGTTCAAAATTCGACGGTTTAGGCCGTAATCCTTTGAAGGAAGGACGTTGTTTTTACACAGGCACTTTAAGACAGGGTGTATTCAGTATAGATTATCTCATAAAGCGTGAGAGATCGCAGACCCAAATCGTGGTGATCGCAAGAGATGTCCATGATCGTGAGGCATCTTGATAATCGTGGCAAAATATTAAACATGTTTAATATTTTGCTACGATCATGACGATAGTTTTAGCTATCGCTTCAGAACGCGGTACTGCGTAGTAGAGTATGGAAAATATGCTCGCTAGTAGTTCTTGATTGGTAACTATTTTCTGTATCATGTAAGATTGATGTATGTCATCTATCATGTATATTGTATGTACTTGACAAAGATTACATGTGATCAATGTGTGGTACCTATATGGGATTATTGCATGCGTTGACTGTGCGGCTGCTGGATGTGCAGACACACTCTCGTGTCACCCATAGGGTAGGTTTCTTTGTACAGTATCTACAGAATATTTAATCATTATAGTATGCATTATTATAAGTCTTTATACCAACACTAATTTTGAATATCACTGTAAACACATGATCACGTAAGTCACCTGTGTTATATTGCATCGCGTAATACCTGTATATGATTGTTGATAGGAACATTTATGCACTATATTTATTATGATGACATGTTCATCAGATGTGATTTAATGTTATGTTTGCCGTGTATTAAATATTAATGTTATTACAGGGTAAGTTCTTCTACCACGATATGGAAATAAACAGATATCTCACTCAGAACCCGTAGTCTGTGGTTAATAACACATTGAAACTCCACTATATCATGGCTGTCAGAGGAACACAAATATTATTGGTACAAATGTATTTCTATTTGTTGGAACTTGGAGACAAAAGAATACTATAAAGCAGGATGTTTTCTAGTCAGGCGGGAGCGGAAGAAAATCTATTAAAGTAGCGAATATGGTGTCGAGTAAAACGTCAGACACGCTCACTTTAGCCGACTGCTACAAATTGGCCTGTATATACATTTGGTTGAATGAATATGCTAACCGTATATGATATTGTATCATGGAGAAACTAACTGGTCTGTGATTATTTCTATAACTGACGGCGTCGCTGTGAATTGATGCGGCTTTAAGTAATAATTTATCACTCACTGACGTAAATATATTTTCCAGCTTCCGGACACTTTCATGATTTCACTTTTATTGGACATTCATATTCACAAGTTGAGGATTATTAAGTACAAAGGAAATTGTAACAACGGGAGCGTACTTACATACACTACCCTACACTTCGTGTATGCAAATTACAAAGCATTCGTGTTTTTGTGGCCTTATTTGACAAAGCGAGATTGCGAAATTGCATGTACAAATGTCGTATTCTCGCGTTGTCGACTTTTGACAAAAAGTGCTATGTACCCAAAACACGAGAATACGAGATCGCGAGAACGCGAGATTTTGGCCAAATCTCGCGTTCTCGCGATGTCGCATTCTCGCACTTCTGGCATTTTTAGCTTGTTTCCAAAGGTCCAGATCGCGAGAATGCTAGATCTCGAGAATGTCCCTTACAGTATTCCATACTATATAGCTGAGGTGACGTTAACTTTTAACCAATCACTCATTCATAGAAAGGCTGTCACGAACAGCACGTTGAGAACAAATATACGATCACCGCTCCACTTTTAACTAGAAGGCGCCTTAATAGGTATCATGAGCAGTCATACAATCCGTCCTGTCCACCTGTTTCAGGAATGCATGGCCCGACTGTTCGACATTACATGTATACAATAAAATCATATTTCCTTGGCATTACAGTTATTCTAAGGCAACCAGTTAATAAAACAAAGCTTTCACAAAGTTTACTTTGGTGCTGCATGAACTTTCATTCTTTCCGAGAGCGAATTTATGATAACTGTCACGTTTTATACGTACCCACATGATAGACAGGTGTCCATTGCCAGCGGTGCTTGACCGAGGAGAGGTTTGTTTCGTATTCCTAACAACAAATAGCTATGATAATGTTATCCATACAATACACTTCGTTAAGGCATAATACATATTTCTATATTGTATATTATGCTTGTCGTTCCTACCGACTCGGCAAGTTGAAGATTAGTGAGAGGCGTGATGATTTCTTCTTTGAGTGGCATTTTATAAGGTAGGAAGTACAATATAGACAAACTTTATGGATAACAAACTTCTTTATTACGAAAGTGCGACGTTCGATTATTGTACCGTTGCTGTTTCAATCTCATCCCACACTTGTTCTATGGGTGCAATACCCGGTGAAAGAGACACCTAAGGGAGAACATGACGTGTGCAAGAAAATCCATAGACACCCTTGCAGTGTGTGGACGGGCGTTGTCCTGCTGGTAAAACTGTAGTTGAGGGGGTGCAGCAAACGTGAGGCGTGAGGCATGAGTACGCCATCCGTGTACAGTGTAACACACGGTTGTTACACTTTGACAGAAGACGTGAAGAGGTGTCCGGTGGTGGTAACTAAGCCCCCATCCCCCATACCATGACGCTACCACCACCACATCTGTTTGCCTGCAGGACACAGCAATCCGCGTAGCGCTGTTACGTCGACGCCACACACGCAATCGGCCGTCAGCAAAGGAGAGATTAAAGCGTGACCCATCCGAAAAGAGAGCTCGTGTTCTGTCAACAAGACGCCAACGCTGATGATGTCTTGCCCATTGAAGACGTTGCCGTCGATACCATTGTTTGCGAATTAGCCCCACGTATGAACGTCTGCAGTTAATGCCTCGCTCTCGTACGCGACGCCTGACGGACCCTGGGCCTAGATTTTCGAAGCTCTCTTAGCGCTAAGATGGCCGTAAGTGCCATACATTAACATTAACTTACGACTATCTCAGCGCTAAGAGAGCTCGAAAATCTAGGCCCAGGGTGCTGTTGTACAAAACAACCTTACCGCTAAGACTACTTTAAGTCTATGTTAAGGTACGTGAGTTACGGCCACCTTAGCGCTAAGATCACTTTGTGAAACGGCACCCTGGTCTTTTTCTACCTCTAAGGGCCGCTGCTGTTCTGTTTGCTGGCTGGATCCGGTTACGTAGGTGAGTTACCGGATGTAACCGACTTTGATCTGGTGTTGTCACCCTTGGTCTTCCCGTCCGGAGACGGTCAGCAATGGCACCTGTACGTTGATGGCGTCCTGTAAGCCTTGTGATAGTGCTCACTTGACATCCAAAGCGTCTGGCTACATTAGTGGCGGTGGTACCCTCCTGCCAACTCCTAAGAGCCACTCCTCTCTGCAACTGTGTTATTCGTGGCATCGTTCATCATGAACATCATTCACGTCACGTTCACAGAATGAATGTTGTTGGGGACGGACCACTTTATAAAGGGTACATCTCAGTGAAAACTCTCGCTCACTGGCAATACCAGTGACTGTAAGACCATAATTCATGATTATTGTTGCTGCTTTTTGCAAATGATGTATGCCATTACATCACCTGCACTCACAACTTAAGATTATTATTGTTAACGATAACATACAAATGTTCACATTTGAAAATTTTGACATGAAAATGTACTTGCGTTTTTATGTATATATCATGGCGTACCTTTCCTAGCCTCTGTTCCTTGTGGGATTTATGAATAGTGTAACTGTGTTTATATCTTCTGAATACGACCATCATCAATTCAGTATTACATAAGATGTTAGTACAATGTAGATTATATATTATAACTTTAAGCCACATATGAAAATGCGGTCATTGTGTTTGCGTTTATTTCAATGATGTAAAATCTGTCTTTGGTCCCGTGTGTATACGTATTTCAAGCATTAACCGCATGGCACAACCGTTACGCCTTGCATTGTGTAAAGAGAATGAAGGGTTGGTACGCATCTGTCTACCTCACGTCGGGTTAGGTTTCTTCCTGGTTTAAAGTCATGCATTGTGGCTGCGTTGGCGCAAACGGTTTCGTATGTGCAAATAATGTATGCCATTACATCATGTGCACTCACAACTTATTAATATTGTTAACGATATTATACAAAAGGTCACATTTGAAAATATTGACATGAAAATGTACTTGGGTTTTTATGGGGTTAAGTATATGTCATGGCGTATTCAGTTAAACCTTTCTCAGCCTCTGTTCCTTGTGGGATATATAAATAGTGTAACTGTGTTGATATCTTTTGAATACGACTATCACCAATTCAGTATAACATATGATCTTAGTAGGTTATATATAATAATAAAGAGTCACATATAAAAATCAGTTCATAACAAGTATATCCCACGGTTACTGTATTTGCGTTGATTTCAATGGTGTAAAATCTGTCTTTGGTCCCGTGTGTCCACAATTCCAGGTATTAACTGTATAACTCAATAGTTAGGTCTTGCATTGTGTAAAGAGAATGAAGGGTGGGTACGCATCCGTCTACCTCACGTCGGGTTAGGTTACTTCCTGGTTTAAAGTCATGCATAACCTGTAATCTGATGTTCACGTGGTGATCAAATGTCTCAATGACACGCGGCGTTATAAATAATTGTTGGGCCAAGTCGTGGTGTCGCAATAACTGAAAGTGAGACTTACCGAGGGAGTAGTATGGAACAGCTCCTTTGAACTCAACCCAGTTTGTGTTACTGTAGAACATTTGCATGATGTGCAGAAACTGACCAATCAAAATCCTGGCCATGTCAAAGTTGGTATTGTTTTGTGACAAAACGAAGATGGCCTGTTCTCTTAGATTCGTCATCTTCTGGTTTGCTGAAACAGAGTACGGAGGGACAGAATTTGAATGAGGTTCGAATGTGTGACATAAAAGTAATGGTTGTATGACGTACACTGTGACGTGAATCCCCACATTGACACTTTCACACATATACTAATCACTAAAGCATATATTATTGTTAAATCATATTTAAATATTGATTGCCCGCCTTTTCGCGAACACCTGGTATCATCGCTATTTCATAGTGATTCATAAACACATGCTCTGTCATCGTATCGAATGCTAACAATCACTGGATTTGTTTATAGGCAGCGTCTTACGACTGCTGAAACAAATTTCTGCCCATGATATAGTCACAACTGTACAATCAACTCTGCTTTTGGCAGAGATTTCTTATGAATGTGGAAATAAGAATGTTGAATAATGGCATGTTCAGCGAAACACAATATTTACAAAACAAATCAAATGACTGTCAGCGCATGTCCAAGAACACCACGCATCTGATTTACCTTCCTTGATTGTCTCCCCGTTACAGTGCCACGCCGCCGTCCGAACTGATCCAGATTCACCTGGTTATTGGCATTGATGATGCTGTTAATAGTTTCCCGAAAACGGGATTCTGACACTTCTTCTGTAACGACAAAAACATCATCTTGTATTTAAAACAATCATTATGTGGAATTAGTATTTGATAAGAATTGAATCATTCATTTAATACGGGCCACAAGTTCTTATTCCTTTAATGGACTTTACCCACCAACCTTTGTGCTAGCGACTTGTACAAGGTACTCACGTCATGTTGTAAGAGGTGAATATGAAATATATCCCGTGTACGTATTTGCCTGTCGCAAAACACTGATGTAAAACAATAGTTATTGCCACATTATGCCTGGTAGTTCCTTCATTCCATCACCCCCCTTATTCCATTTTCTTCATTTTCAAGTCCATTATTTTGTCCATTTCCATTCCATTCCTCATTGTCCATATTTCATCTTCGTCAGATCCTTCTAAAGGGTGGTGTTGAGTCCTCAATTCCTTCATGCTCCGTCCATCTTCCGTCCATATTTCCTCCGGTAGTCCTAAGTCCTCCTCCATCCATTTCCTTTCTTTCCTTTATTCCTTGTCCTTGTCCAGACAAATTTCTTCCTCCCATTCCATTTCCTGTCCACCAACTCCGTCTTCCATTATGTTCTCCATTATCCACAGGCTCAGATCTTCCTTATCCATTCCGCTGTGATCCATTATCCTTCCATTCCACCTCCTTCACCCTGTCCATTTCCATGATTCCACCATTCCCTGAATATTTTCATGTGGTTTGTTCTTTCATTCAGATCAGTCATTCCGATTTTGGTCTTCTTCCTGCCTGTTTCCATGTTCGTGACCAGGTGATTCTCCCGTTGTCCATCTTCACCGTTCCGCGTCCGTCGTCAGTCCGTCACATCCACATCCACTCGTTCCCGTCCACATACACCTACATCCATCCATCAATCCCCCCATTCACACCCACCCACACCCACATCCACATATACACCCAATCCCACCCACATCAACACCTACACCTACACCCACACGCACACATCACACCCACACCTACATCCACATCCACATCCACACCCACACCCACACCCACATCCACACCCACACCCACACCCACATCCACATCCACTTCCACATATACATCCAATCCCCCACACTCCACACACCTACACATCCACATCTCACATCCACATCCAACATCATCCACACTAACACCTACACCACATCCACACTCAACATGTACATCCACACCCACATCCACATCCACACCCAGATCCACACCCCACTTCTACATCCAACTCCATCCAACACCCCCACCCACACCCACACCCACATCCACATATACATCCAATCCCCATCCACACCCACACCACACTCCACATCCACATACACACCCACACCCACATCCACCCACACCTTCTTACATCCACACCCACACCCACACATCCACACCCAAACACACACTCACATCCACACACACACACTCTCACATCCACACACACATCCACACACACACACAAAACATCCAGATCCACATCCCACATCCACACACACACACACACACACACACACACACACACACATCACTGACTCACCCACACACACACCCACACCCACACCCAACACACCCACACCCACACCCTCACACCCACACACACACACCCACACACACACCCACACCCACACCCACACCCACACACCCACACACACAACACCCACACCAACACCCACACCAACACCAACACCTTCCTGAAAATTATACTGTGCCCAGTACAAGACTACAATATTCAGCCTTTTGCAATGCAGACCTCTAAACTGAAGAATATCTTCAAACATGTGCATCATTACATCAATGAAACTAAACGATTCCTCTGTTCATCTTAATCTGTAATATTCTCAGACACACGATCTCTCATGTACATGTTCTCTGTTTCTCTGTTTCATGTATATTTGATTTTAATGCATGTAAACATAACTGTTGTAGATATTTGGAGAGGGCTTCATTACGTTGGATAATCTTTTTCTTCAATAAATAAAATATGTTTAAATCAAGGAATTATTTAATTGAAAAATTTAGGATCCTAAACTACTGGGCAAAAGAAACTTATCACTTTTTGAATAAAAAAATGAACAATGTGACCCTTCATGCACTGCGTGAATAAACTCTGATTTGTGTATTTTTTTAATTTAATGAACTGCGGCAAAAACAAGACCAGCATTACAATGACTTTTCAGCCAAATTACTGGAAAATGATTTCTGTTTGGTAAAAGAATTACCATCACAATATCTTTGCTTCTTGTTTTGTGGTCATGTGGCCGACAAGTGAGTTTGATTGCCGATGGTTTTGGAGAAAATGCCTGCTTACTGTCGAGGAAATGATTTGTAGATGTTTTAGACAGGTGGACTGCCGCTGCCGATCGAATTTTGCCCTACTTAGGTGCTGTCAACGTGACTGGAATTAATAAACGAATTTAAAAGGTGAGTTTTCGCTGTCTTTGGTGATCCATGATTTTGGCTTGGAATTGCGGAGGTAGCTGTTTTCGGTGAGTCGTGGCGTATAGCTTTTGAAATAATGATCCGATAGTGACCATTTATAGCTCATGTTGTAGGGAAATCATCTCGCTTTCGATCCGTAGGCTTCGACGGGGCCTTAAAAATAGTTTACCTGGTGAAATCTAACTTTGATTGAGGAGGGGGTGGTTCCGTCGTTACATCCCTTTTCTTTTATATAGTACTAGGGTAGGGTTTATATACCTATATATCTTTCTATCGCTGTGTCTAAGCGTGACACGCCCCTGTGGTCAGTGATAACTTTCTTTTGCCCGGTAGTTTGGTTCTCATTAACAATTATCTTGTCTCCATGCCAGATCCAAGTCCGATCGAGTAGAGATAATATATCGTCGCAGATAATCTTTGTTCCGAAAACAGGTGAATTATAAAATACTAGACCTTGTCACATAGAACGTTACGAGCGAAAAGGGCCAGGGACTGGTCAACGGAATATGCATAATGACCGAAGCAAAAATAACAGTAACGGTTTTCGCGATTGAATTATAAATAATAATAGGTTTGAATAAAAAATTGGTGTGCATATTTCTGATGACTTTAATCCAGTCAATTATTGCAATATTCTAGTATTTTCCTTTAATGAGGTCATATGATCCTTGATGGCAAAGGTTCCAGAATTTGTAAAAATACATCATGTCAGTAAACACCCAGTACAATGTACATGTATTTCATATCTATGAACATCATGTTTTGTACCTGTTATATGAACACACAAGTCATTCCAGAAATCACGGGTATCTATGTTATGAGGCATGAAAACGTTGGCAAATTTTCTTAAACTTACAAATATTTCCCGGTCACAGAAAATGTCCATATTTCAAACGCTATTAAACTTAGAAAGCATTCGGAAATGTCAGCACTTATTACAAATAAAAGGAATGTACTGGAAACACTCCATGATCAAGCATTTTAAGGTAACAACTGTTGAATTCACGCTAGGAAATTCATGCAAATCCGGTCTCATGACAAAGGTGCTTGCGCCTCCCGCGATATTGGATGACCGTATATTCCAAAGGCACAGCTTCAAATGAAATAATTATCGAGACACAAAATGAAAATATAGTCATAGCACGTATTTCCTGTAGTAGCTATCTTGCGTTTATGTCAGTGGTGTAAAATTCGTCTTTGGTCCCGTGTATATATTTCTAGGTATTAACCGTACAATTTAACATTTAGGTTTTGCATTGTGTAAAGGACAAGTGCAGGCAATGACAGGGTGGGTTAATACCCGTATTCATACGGAGGCATACGGAGGCATGCATTAGATGCAAGGCATTAGATGCAAGATGAGATGGTGACCATCTCGTGTTATGTACACTCGGCGACCAAACGACTGAAAGGCAGCGTAATCATTACTTAGTAGGGCGCCAAGTCGTGATGTCACAATAACTCAGAGGGGGTAATGTACAGACGTTAGACTGTAATAATAGTAACAAAAGCTGGGCTACAGCCTTCAGAATTCCGATCTCTGTAATGTCAGGATGAGTCCATCTTCCCCTTGAGCCCAGGAAGGTGTTCTGGCTTTGGTTGCTAGAGGCCTATTACTGGAAGGTTTGTTTTATACCAAAACTGTGATACGAAACATATTGTTTTACTGTCCTTTGTAGACAGACATATATTTATAGTCAACTTGTTCTCGTTGCTGCATGGGTCCAATATTGCCGATGCAATGTAAGATTTAACTCACTCACTCTGTCTCTCATCATGTTCCATTCCCATGTCGACGCCTCGCAGTCTGCTGGGGGCAAGGGAGTTTACTCCCTCAGAGCAGACAACCGACAAGAAGCTAGTTACGAGACGCATGTTGAAGAGCTGTCTGATCGGGGCCTGGAAGCTAAGCTCTCTTAGCGCTAAGATAGTCGTATGCCATACAATAACAGTAACTTACGACAGTCTTAGCGCTAAGAGAGCTTCTAGGCCCTGGTGTTGAGCAACCTATCATAAGAAGCGAATATAGCAGAAAATCTGGTCAGACTCGTTGGCTTGTTTGGTGCATATCATTGTTTAAGCCATTTGTGATGTTATGATATTTTGAGTGTTGGTGTGAATGTATGTGAATGGTGGGGTATTATGTGCGAGATTAGCTGAATAATGGGAGAGGAATGCTTGATGGGTAATTGTGAAAATGAGTTTGTGATTGATGCCATGTAGGAATCATTTTAGGCAAGGAAGGGTTAGGAAATAAACGATATTTACTTCACGTTCGGGTTTGTAATTACTCGAGTATTTTGCGAAACTACAGTGACCCAGTTTACATGACCCATACAGCTACCTACATCGGATGACTGCACACCAACCTTCTTGTGCTCTTCAAGACACCCGTCGACATGCGTCTCGTAACAAGCTTGTTGTTGATTCTCTGTTCTGACGGAGTATACTCCTTTTTCCCCAGCAGACTGCCAAGTGTCGACATAGGAGATGGAACATGGACACATGCAGACATTACAGAGATGGGGATTCTGAAGGCTGTAGCCGCCTACTTTGAGGCCAACCCGAGACCCAACAGCAC